CTCATCTCAACTGTCCCCTCCTCCAGGAAGGCCTGCCTGATCCTCTTGGCTGAAAGTGGTGTTGTTGTTATGTGCCGTCGAGTCGGACCTGACTCATAGCTGAAAGTAGTCTTGCCTATTCTTTTTTTTTTTTTTTTCGTAACACCTGGTTGATTCCCGCACTCAAGCCTGGTTGTGTTATTTAAACTTGTAAACGTTTGTAGTGATCCACCAACCGGAGGCAGCATATAGGAGAAGACTCCACCAGCCTAGGGGACAAGAGTTGGAGCCTGGCTTTGCCTCCAGCTTACTGTGTGACTCTGGCCCAGGCACGCCTCCTATCCATAAAGTAGGGAAATCACCTCCACTCATCACGCAGGATGTCCTGGAGGTTGACGGGGGTACAGAAGCCGACTTTCAAGCTACAGCTGTGTGCGTTTGATGATTTCTTTCCAGGAATCTCACTCCAAGTGACACAGATAAAAAGGGAAAAAATTTAACCCAAATGCATAGATACTGGGGACAGACTCAAAAGGGACAAGGCAGCCTCTCCGCACATGAAGGGCTGCTTCATTCAGGAGCAGGAAGCTGACTTGTCCTTTGTGCCCCAAGGAGGACAGACTTCGGCTCAGTGAAAATGGGAGGCAGTAATTGGTCTCTCCTCATCCAGAACAAAGACTTGTGAAGAAAATCAGAGACTCATGGACCACATGAACCACAGCCTCTACTACCCTGAGACCAGAACTAGAGGGTGCCTGGCTACCACCACAGATAGCTCTGATCAGGATCACAACAGAAGATCCTGGATGGAGTGGGAGAAAAATATAGAACAAAATTCAAAATCATATAAAAGACCAGACTTACTGGTCTGATAGATACTGGTGATATCCCTAAGATTATGGCTCTTAGACACACTTCAACCTTGAAACTGAACCCACCCCTGGAGATCACCTTTCAGCCAAACAACAGACAGATCTACAAAGTGAACAATACCCATTAAGAACGTGCTTCTCAGAACAATCAACCATACAAGAACAAAAGGGCAGCATTTGTTCAAAATCAAAGTTCAGGAGGCAGGAAGGGAAGAAGGACAGTGGAAATGGGGAACTCAGGGAGGAAGAGGGAAGAGTGCAGTTACCTTGAGGGGACTGCAACTAAAGTCATGAGGAAAAAAATGTACAAATTGCTGAATGGAAAACAATTTGTCAGTAAACTTTCACTCAAACTGTAATTTTTTAAAGAAGGAATATATTCAAATATTAAAAAAAAAAAATAGGGAAGCAAATATTGCACCAGTCACAGTCCCCCTATAATGGCAGTGCTGGTTTCATGGAGTAAGGGGCTCCTTGTCACTTGAAGGATATAAGGCAGGAATCCAGCACAGAACGGAAATCGGCCTAGATGGCTTAAACCCTGTTGTTTTCTGATTCTAGAATGGGTTGTGGCATTATTTTAAGCCCAGCATCAGATGACAGCTTGTTTTTGACATTCTTGAATGAGTTTCAGAGGAAAGAGTGAGAGAAACAATCCCACTTGTGGGGTCTCAGGCAGACAGAACTGTATATTAGTTTCTACTCACTGGGTTGTACCCTATTCATTGTCACTTCTAAAGGAAGGTCATTCTGGGCAAGGGCCAAGTCTCCAACTAGGTCACCATTAATCCCTTTCATCTCTGCTTCTTTCATCAGGTAATCGCCCCTGGCTCTGAGTACTTCTTAGGGAAATATTACTCTAATGAAGTCAGGGGATGAGGGCAACTGATAAACAGATGGCATGGAAAGTGTGTGTGAGGATGGGTGTAGCTCAGTGTTCTCCAGCCCCACCCTTCCACCACCTCCTCCACTGCCCAGCTCCCCCAGGTGCAGACAGACTCAGGGATTACCGTATAGGCCTAGCGTTAGCTTATAACCAGCTGCTTTTCTCTGGTCAAAAGTCCCCTGAAGTTCCCATCAGGGTCAGGAGCCACAGGCGTCCCTGGTATTTCCACTGTGTGGCTTTGTGCAGGTGATCACACCAGACTTGGCCCCCAACATTTCACTACCAACAGTGATGACTGCTTTTGGCGAGAAGCCCGGGGGCTGACCCTTCTCAAAGATCAGCCTGTGTCAAAGAGGCCTCTGCCCACAAGTATCAGCCGCACCCCTCCCACTCCACAGCCTGATACCAAACCAAAATCAAACCCGTTGCCACTGAGTTGAAGCTGACTCATAATGTTCCTACAGCAGAGAGCAGACTGCCCCATAGGGTTTCCAAGGCTGTCAATCTTTTTGGAAGCAGATCATGACATCTTTCTCCTACAGAGCAGCTGGTTGGTTTGAACTACTGACCTTTTGGTTAGTAGCTGAGCACTTAACTACTACACCACCAGGGCTCCTTTTCATAGGCTGACAGAGGCATGTCATTCATTCCACCATCAGTCATTTCATTTGGTTTAAAGCAGCAAGTTTTAAACTGTGCCCTGCAGGGCCCTATACATCCCCAGAGTCTCTCAGGGGCTGGGGCTGGGGAAAGAAATGGGGCATCTAAGAGGGCAAAGCTTCAGTCTCCCCTGTAATCAGGGTTCCTCTACTTTTATCTGATATCATTTTAACAAAGCTGAAAATATTAAAACCACTGCATTAAGGATATTTAATATGTCTTATCTCTGTCATCTAAGATTTGTACAATGAAAACATATTACTTTTGTTAAGAGGAAAAAGAATAAAACAAGTTAAAAAACACTAGCCCTATGGCATTTAAGTGGTCAGAGCCTTAGAGAACATCTGCCCAGCCCTTCCTTTTTTTTAATTTTTATTTTGATTTGGGTGAAAGTTTACAGAGCAAATTCACTTTCCATACAACACCTCACACACACTTTGTCTCATGACATTGACTACAATTTCCCATAATGCAACAGCTTCCCTTCTACTTCCTCCCAATAGTTACCTCCTCCCTGTGTCCTTCCCTCCCATGCACTCCTGCCCCCCAAAGTGTCTCCCTGAGCATATACAGCCCTTCTATTCTCCCATGATCAATCTCTCCAAGGAGTGTAGCTCCCTAATGTAAGTGTTCAGCTCATATGCCTGTCTTTTGTTTGCCAGCCCCTCCATTTTGCAAGTGGAGCACTATGGTCCACAGAGAGGAATGGGTCTGCTCATGTCTCACAGTGCGACGTGCCACTAAGACACCCAAATGGGGAGGCTCAGACACTGGTCCATGGATCAGTCCATCACATTAACTCTTACTGCATTGAAAAGTGTAAAGTTCCCAGAAAATGCATGTGATCTTTACTATTATCCCCTTGAGGGAGCCCTGGTGGTATAGTGGTTAAATCACCTGGCTGCTAACCAAAAGATCAGCACTTTGAACCTACCAGCCACTCCACAGAAGAAAGATGTGGCAGTCTGCTTCTGTGAAGATTTACAGCCTTGGAAACCCTATGGAGCAGTTCTGCTCTGTCCTACAGGGTCCCTATGAGTTGCAATCAACTCAACAGCAATGGGTTTGGTTTGGGGTTTTATGATCCCCTTAAGGGCATGGAAAAGGAGGGACTGCTGAGAGGGGATGGGAAATCCTCAAATTAGCTCTAGATGGGGCAGGAATTCCCCCCAAATTCTCTGAATGAATAGGCACAGAGCCAACAACGGTGAAGGAGGTGTGGAGACTTGCCTGCCTCTGCCTCCAGTAGGTGTAGAGGGAGAGTCGCCTGCTGTCCCTTGACCTGCGATCTGGGTATTACAGGTCCTGGAAGGGCCTTGCAGAACCAAAGTAACTTCTCATTTAACAGATGAAGAACCTGAGGCCCAAACAGGTCACTGAACCTAGGCCATGCAACCGATATACAGAACCATCATGGACACCAGGTTCCTGACCCCTGGGCCAGAGTCTATAGCAAGAAGAGAGCTTTGGCTGAAAGAGCCACATGCCTTATTGGGGGTGGGGGGCAGTGCAGGGTGGTTCAGTGATAACCTTAGCCACAAGGCAGCTTGGGCATGGAGACTCCCCAGTAGGTCTTAGGGCCCCACGTATAAGACACAGGGTAGGATTTAGAGTAGTGGTGCCTAGATGTTTGAATTCATGAATCAATAGAAATTTGTTTGTTTGAATTGGAAAGTTAGCATAAAAAATGCCATCATTTTATTTTACCAAAAACTCTATCCTCTGCTATCACTATCATTTCATTTATAAAAGGACATTTATAGGAAAGCATAGTCTGAGTAAAAATTTATTTTTATGAAAAATCCTTCTAATTTCCTTATCTTTATCATCTTGTCATGACTGGTGGGATTACAGCAGTTCTGGCCAGCACGTGGGGACCACTGGCTTAGACTGATGACCTGTGAGGGCCCTTCTAGTTTAGAAAGGCCAAGGTCCTGAACTGCGGTACTCGAGAATGTCTCTTTGCTCTCTTACATGTCCAAGTCATCTTTTATTTCTAGAAACACAGCTTGGCAGACCCCAAGAAGTAAGATGGTATCGGCCTAAGATACGTCCCTGCGTAAGGGCAGACAGAGGGGCCAAAAGACCTGTCTAGAACAAGGGTTTGCAAACCTTTTCTGTAAAGGGCCAGACAGTCTCTGTTGCCATCACTCAGCTCTGTCATTGTGGGGTGAAAACAGGCAATACATAAATGAATGAGTGTGGCTGTGTGCCAATAAAATTTTATTTATGGACACTGAAATCTGAATTTGATAAAATTTTCACATCACAAAATATTCTTCTTCTTTTGATTGTTCCAGCCATTTAAAAATAAAAAATCTAGCAGGTGAGCCAGGTTTGTTCTTCCCTGGGCTGTAATTTGTGGACCCTGGTCTAGACTGATCTTCTTACCCTGAATCTGTCCCAGATCAGCCATGTGGCCTTGGGCACACCGCTCACCTCCAGGAACTTCAGTTTCCTTACTTTTCACAAAGCAAATTCGGTCCAGACTGAGCGTAAGGAGGGAGGCATCTGCCAGGGGGCCATGTGGGCTGCTCCCTATGTGGGCTCACCCTGAACAGATTGAGAGAATGGACAAATACCTTGCCTGGTGCACAACATACCTTCTCCTGAGACAGGTGTCCTGGGCTTACAGAATGGGGGCTGTCGCCTCTGCATTTGGGGCAGAGCCGATCCTCACCGTTCCTGGGGAAACACAAGCAAATTTCCCTGCGTGAGGCAATCACGGTTCCCTGGCACCAGCCCCTGTGCCAAAAGCTCCAAAAACCCAGACACTGCCCTGCATGGCAGCAGATATTAGTGAGTGTGTAGGCCCCTAATCCCGCCCCCACTGTTCTAAAACCCAGAAATGTTCTGAACAATGTTCTGAATGCTTTCCACACGTTTGAAGTGAACACATTTGGCAGCCAAACCTGCACTGAATTAACTGGAGGTGATTATAGCCTTTCTTTATCCCACTCTGTATGAATATTTGCATGTTTCCTTACAGAAACATCAATGTACTTAATTACAAGGCGCTGCCCAGTCCCCCCTGGAAGAATGACATAATGCATTGACTAGTTTTTCTAAAATGTGAAACAATTCCAAAGGCAAACACATCTGACCCTGAGGGTCTGTGACTGTATGTGGACTGCTCAGCTTCTTCTTTTTGGTTTTGGTTCTTACTTTCAGTAATCACAGATGATCGTGGTTTGTGAGAATATGAAGGGCCCTCCGAGACCATTTAGCCTGGAGATTCTCAACCAGCAGTGTGTGTCAGATTCTGAGTCAGGTGACACACAGGCATGTGTGTTTTGAAAAAGCCCCCCAAGTGGGTGTGATGAACAGTGAGCACCGTGGTTGCTGCTGTGGGCCGTGGAGTCGATTTTGACTCATAGCTGCCTACACAGAGTAGCACTGCCCCATAGGGTTTCCTAGGCTGTGGTCTCTATGGGAGCAGGCTGTCAGGTCTTTTCACTGGTGCAGCTGCTTGTGGATTTGAACGGCCAACCTTCTGAACAGCAGCTAAGACCTCAACCACTGGTTTAGCCTATTTTGTAGGGCAAGAGAGAGAGAATCAGCAGAGCTGAGGCAGCAGCTCTCCAGGCGCAGGCCCAGGCCTCGTCCGTACCCCACCAGCTCCTTCTCCTTCCTCTGCCAGGTTTCGGGAGAAGAGACCCACTGTAAAGGCCTGAGGACATCCCAGAACAATCACCTTGATGGTCAAACCAGACAGGCTTGCTCTACCATCCTGCCTGGCTTTTCCCAGCCACAGCCTCTCCCCTCCCTCTCTCACAGCCTCCCCCTCTGTCACGATGTGTGAACTTCTCATAGGCCTGATTCAGTTCTCCCACCTTCTTAAGCTGTAAAACCCCAAACAAAGGTCACAAGGGTATGTGGCAGCTTATGAGCACATTTGCTGGGACAGCCATTTGGGCAAGTTGACATAACCTCTTTATTAAGCTCAGTGTTCTCATCTGTAAAATGGGAGAATAGTACTCACCTCACCAGGTTACTCTGAGGAAAGAGCTTGGCAGAGTACTTGGCACACAATAGGTGCGTAATAGTTAAGGGGAGACATTGACGATGTTATTGGTATCACTCTCCTGATTACTTAAATATACATAAAAGTACATATATATATATAATTTATACACACACACACACACACACACACACACCCTTCTCCCCTTTAAGAAGGTTCTCAGCAAACAGTACAAGGTGATGGATGATGCTGCAGAAAGCAGCATTGTGTAACAATTTGTCATTTACCAAGAGAGTTTACTTTATTAAAAGAGGTTTCTGGACATTACTGATAGGCCCTCCTAACAATTCTGTTAGGTAAAAAACAGCTTTATAGCCATTTGATAAACAAGAAAGCCAAGTTAAGAGACGTTAAGCAATTTGCACCAGGCCACACAGCATATAAGTAGCATAGCTGGCCTAAAGGTTCTGCCCCCACTCTGGAAAGACTTCTCCTGAGGGAGCTGACATCTTCCTGTGACTACTACTCCTTCTACCAGCAGGCAAAGGGACAACATCAAGGACTAAGAGGAAAGGGTGTGGAAACTGAGGGCCAGAGAGGTGAAGTGACCTGCCCAACATCACCAGTGCCTCTCACCCTTGCCTCCTGTCTTCATCCCTTCCTTGGTGACATCTCGGCACCCACCCTTTGCTCCCCTGTCCCCTCACCTCATGTTCTCTGAGAGACAGGCAGTGCAGCAGAGAGCCCTGGGCTCTGGTGGGTCCTGGCAGATGGTGGGGGGGCACCCAAAGGGAAACTCATTCTCATCGGGGGCCGGGCGGGGGCTGCTGGCTGAGCCGGAGGCCATCCTGGGGTCCAAGGGTGGCCAGAGGGCTCGTCTAAGCTCCTCCAGCCTGTGATGAGAGAAGACTGTGATGAGAGAAGAGGTATGTTCAGGCCTGGCCACCCTCTCTGGTGAGCAGGGAGTCTCTGATGACTTTCTCTTCTCTCTGGCTTGTGTGGTTCAACGTCACAGCTGAGTCACAGCGAGGATGGGGCAGGAATTACCCTTCATGGTGAGAAAAATCCCCTGTATGGTGACTGGAGGCTTCAGGAGTGTCCAACCATTCTTCAGAGTGAGAGCGGGCAACAGAGCAAGTCAGAGAGAAAAAAGAACTGTGTCATGGACTTTCAGGAACCACAGTCAGAGTTCCCCTGTCTGAGAACCGCAGGGTATGGCTGGCTTCCTCCACCGAGGATCCCTGGGGCACTTCAGCAGAGAGCAGCTGGTGACTGGTCTGTGGTCCCTGGGGCTCCCAAGCAGCTTAGAATTCCCTGGTGGAAGCCCCCACGGTCCTGGAAGCAGGTCCAAAGATTCAAGTCCCAGGAACTTTAGGAATGCACAGTCCAGGGAAGCTGGACAACCTCAGGTAAAACTCATCTCCTCATAACGGGTCTTAGTTGTCCCACCTGTTTAAAAAAAAAAAAGGAGTTAAACAAGTGGTCTCCCAGTGCTCTCAGGGCTCTAAGATTCTGAGAGCCTATGACCAAGGCAACCAGAGGCAGCAGGAAGGCCTCTGATGACCCCACACTGCCCGGGCAGTCCTCCATCAGCCCCAGTGACGACACAGGGCCCTCTCCGCCTTCGAAGTCCTGAGTGGCTTTCTGGGCTCAAGGCCTCAGGACCACAAAACCCACTCAGGAAGTCATGGTGGCCACACATCCAGGTCAGGTGCCACCACTTCTTTGCCTTTAGAACAAAGCACTAAACAAATACCAGGTCACAGGGAGACGATCTCCGTTCCCAACTGGATAGCCAAGTGGGATGTAGATCCATGTCTGCAGGAAAAGTGAACCAACGGACCTACGGCCGGTTCCCAGCATGTCTACTGTGTGCCGGGCACTGCTTTACTTGCTAATTCCCAGAACCACCTGTCGTGTTCTTCTGCAGTCATGACATAGGCTCAGAGAAGCAAGGTGCTGGCAGGTCTGTTGGACTTCCAAGCTGTGTTCTTGCCCTCACACAAGAGAGACGAAAGTTAAGGCAGCCTGGTGGAGCCTGCAGAGCTGGGGTGGGAGTCCGAGCATGTGGCCGCTATTTTCTCATCTGCCAAATGGAGAAGACGGCCCCCCCACATCTCCCTGCTCTGCAGTGCTGCTGAGGGATTGTATGAACTTTCACAGCAGTTTCAAATCATGGGCTTTGAGGTTAGACAGATCTGAGTTGGGATCCTGAGTCTACCACTTACTAGCTTTGGGTACTGAGACAAGATCCTTAACATCTCTGAATCTCAGTTTCTACATCTATCAAATGGATGATAATACCTCCTTCACCCAGTTGTAGTGATAACTAAATGAGATCCTGGATGAAAGTGTGGCATAGAATGTGGCCCAAGTGACGTGCTCCAAAGGGTCTGACGTTGCTCTAGGATGATGGCTACTCTCCTTCTAGTTCGACAAAACCAAGGGAGAGGACTAAAAGTTTAATCATATTTATACAGTGTTTTCAAATCCATCAGGTTCACTTAAGCTTCACAGGTCGGCAGGGACGTCATTCCCTGGCCCTGTAAAAATTCAATTGCCTATCTTCCCTGGTCAGATACCTGGGCAGCCACATTGCTGGCAAAGAGGGCTGGGCCCCCATCCTCACCTGGGCCAGTCCTGGCAGGGCACCATGAGCTAATGACCCTGATGCCTACTTCAGAGAAAATAAAATCTATCCTAAAGACACCCCTTTAATCTGTATATCCCAATCCTGCAAACCTGCCTGCATCCCCACCCGTTCCTTCCTCTCTTCAGTGAGGGATGAAGAGGTGCCCCAACTTACCTCCCCATCCTAGACTGGGCTCCTTTCTCTCCCCTCTGCCTCAATGCTTCCTTCTCTACCCTCCCCACAAACCTCAAAATATGCTCCAGTTGCTCTAATTATAATGAAAAAGAACAGGTACTGCTTCTTAGTTCTGTGTTTGGGTGCCGTATTAAATACTTTACAGGTACCATCTCATCTGATCCTCACATGAACCCTTTGAAGCAGGTTGCTGTCCTCCCCATTCTACAGATGAGGGGCTGAGGCACAGAGAGGTTAAGTCATTGTCCAAGGTCTCACAGCTAGTGGGTGGGAACTCTTGGACCCAGTGCTTGTGCACCGTGTACACAGCGTGCTATTGCCCATCCTTAAAACTTTCACTTCCATCCCAAATCCTCTCTTGCTTTTACTCTCTCCGCATTTTAACATCTAGAAAAGATTGTCTGCACAGAAGCCTCCACTTCTCACCCCAATCCCCACAGAACCATCTCTTCCAGGTTATCTAAGACGCGGTAGCCAAAAGCCCCGAGTCTGTCCCAGTTTCTATCCCCTGGACGGCACCTGGCAGGGCGCTTAGCCCCTCCTTCCAGAACGTGGTGCTTTCTTCAGCTTCCCGTTCCCCCTCGGGGTTCCCAACTTTCCTGGGTGCTCCGCTCAGTCTCCTGGGCCCCCTTCCCTTCTACCTTGAACATCTATAGGGTGCATCCCAGTTGCTCCCCACTTTGGGGTGGACACATACACACAACACACAGAGCTCCCTCCGCTCCCATCTCCTCAGCCTTCCACTCGTTCTTCGGGGGCACCAGGACCAGACACTCTCCTAGGAAGTCTCCGTGGGCCGCGCCCATAATAGGCTTGGCTCCGGGATTTGAGATCCTATCACGTTCTGCCGGCCAGAGCCCAACCCTGGCCGCCCGGCTCTGTGATTCCCGGTTGCCTGCCTGTGGGTGTCCCCCAAGCCAGTTCTTGCAACGCCCACCCCCACCCCCCGAGGACATGGCCCCTGTCGTTTCGCCGACTCCACATCTCCAGATGCGAGTCCAGCTCCGAGAGCAGGGCAGCGCCCGTGACTATTCTAAGGGTGAACGCTCCGCAGTGATGCCCCGGGCGCCCGCAGGAAGAAGGGCTGGGGACAGCGAGGCCCGGGTGCGAGGGGCGGGCTCTGCAGCTGCGGGTTCCCTGTCCCGGGCCGCGGTGAGGCCTGGGTTCAGGGAGCCGCCCGAGCAAGGGACGCTGGGGCGTACGGCCCGGGAGCGCGGGGTACGGGGGCGCAGGAGGGCGAGGAGCCTCCGCGCGGTCCCAGGACGCGTGGGGCGGGGCGGGGTGCGGGCGGGGACAAAGTGCAACCAACCTCGGCGTCGCCGCCGCCGCCTCCCCGCGGCCCGCCCGGGAGCTTCCGGTGGGGCGCGGAAGACGTAGCCGGGCGGCGGAAGCGCGGCAAGGCGGGGCTGGGGCAGGTCCTGGCTGCAAGAGCCTGCGGCCCTAGGTGGGCGTGTGTGCGCGAGCGCTGCCCTGGTGGGGAAACTGAGGCTCGGGACTAGGCTAACGGCGTCGCAGGTACTGTTATCCTTCTGGGAACTAACACTCTTGTATTCCCCTCCTCTCCCTGCCGAGTTCCTGGCACCGAGTGCAGTGCTAGGCACATATTACGTACTAAGCAACATGTTCCCCGAATTAAAGAAAACAGACCTGGAATTTGAAACCCCGTCTCCTGCCTGGACTTCTGCTTGGAGATGGGATGAGAAGTGACAAAACCGGAGTCCTCTCCCTACTGGATCATTGCAAAGGGCCCAGTGACAGGCTCATCCAAGCTTACTGGTTTGCCCCAGTCAGTAAAGAGGTTACAGTGTGGTTTTGAAAGCCCTGTTTTTACAAAACGATATTGTAAAGGAATCATTTCTGTTTTTGTTTAAACACACACACAACACCACACACACACACACACACACACACACAGTCACTTATTCCCCATGAATGTGATACATAATTAAAAATATCAGGAAACTCAGTGTTGGCGTACAATTCTGTTTAAAAGATACAACCAGCGTTTATTTGGGCATTCCACCAACATGACAAAGGCTCCTTCTCCGTGGGATCCAATCCCTCCGGGGCTGTTGGCTGAAGGAGTGAGGCTGCCTACCTTGCTGGTTTCCTTTTGTTTTATCTACTCAAAAGCTTATGGCTGTGGGGAAAAAACAAACCCACTACCATCAGTCTATTCTGACTCACAGCGACACTATAGGATAGAGTAGAACCATGTGCCATAGGGTTTCCAAGACTGTTAATCATTAACCAAAGCAGATTACCACATCTTTCTCTTGCAGAGCGGCTAGTGGGTTAGAACTGCTGACCTTTAATTGGCAGTCAAGCACTTAACCACTGCGCCACCAGAGTTCCTTCTACCATTGTGGAATAGATCCCAAATCATGGCAACCCCAGGTGTTACAGAGTAGAACTGCCCCAAAGGATTTTCTTGGCTGTAATCTTTAGGGGAGGAGCTCTGGCATAGTGCCTAAGGCACCTGACTGCTAACCAGAAGGCTGGAGGTTCAAACCCACCAGCCACTCCTCAGAAGGAAGGCTGGGCAATCTACTTCCATAGTGATACTGCCTCGGACACCCAAGGAGGGGTCGCTATGAGTCGGGTCCGAAGTGAGGCAGTGAGTGATCTTTAGGGCAGTGTATTGTCAGACCTTTCTCCCATGGTGCCACTGGATGGGTTTGAGTCACCAACCTTTGGTTGAGAGTTGAGTGTGAACTGAGCCACCTGGGAACCTTTCTTATGTATCAGGGACCCCCCTCCCCCCTTGGCTTCCCTTGATTCTAAGAGCAGGGAACCATCCTTACTTCTTTTCGTTTTTTAACAGAAAGATGTGTTTAAGCATTCCCTCCCCCCTCACGCTGAGCTGCTGTCTTCCAGCTTCTGACTGATGGGGCGGTCCTGCTGGGTGGAAGGAGACGTTGCCCACAGATGAAATGAGTTGCTGTGTGCACAAGCACAGGGTCTCAGTGTCCTCACCTGGTAGAGAGGTTCATGTGGACAAGTAGGGGGTCGCTGAGCCCTCCACGAGAGAATTCCTGCAGTCTATGGGAGGCTGACCA